ACAACATTTAATCTACAGAACTACCCATCTCAGCTTTCAGGGCCCAGCTTTCTCGCGGTTCCAGTGTAGTGCCCTTGTGCCCTTTTTGTTTTGGGGTTCCTCTATTAAAACCGAACAGTAGGAAAAAGGTACCCTTATTATGAATTGGCTACCCAGAATCCTAGTAAAGTTGCCTCTAGACCCAAAACCCCTCATGATACCCTTATAGGTCCCTATAAAGGAACCCTTATAGACCTCTTCAAAGGAACCCTTATAAATCCCTTTAAAGGAACCCTTATAGATCACCTTTCAATTTAAAGGAATCCGTATAGATCCCTTTACAAAAACTCTTGAACATCCCTTTAAAGGAACCTAGTTCTGAAGCACTTTCACAACCTCTACATCTTGGCAGCTTCGATGTCTCAAAGCGCCGCAGTCGCTGTGTGTAAAGCTTGATATCCGCATATGTTATTTTAGGGGTTCCTTCATGCATACAATAGTATAATATCCCCCAAACCTTATTCTAATTATCAAGGCCCCTATACCAGAGTATCCTCTTAAAGATCCCTGAGAGTAACCCATTAAAGGCCCCTATATTGCCTACAGAGTGAGTCCTCCGGCCCTTCACTTGGAGGGTCGGGGGACTTAGTAAGTAGGTAGTAAGTAGACCTATAAGTACCCTAAAAGGGACCTTAATTGGGGTTATGGTACTTATAAGTCCTGAAAATAACCAGTTACTAAATCCCAAGACCCTCCAAGCAAGCTCACCAGGGCGAACCTTGAGTTCGTTCTCATCGCTGTGAAAAACGATGGAGACGCGCTACAGCCCCCCGGCTCCAATTTTTCTAGGGTTCCAGTAAAGGTTCCTTGTTAAAGGGGTCCATTAAAGGGTTCCTTGACAGGGGTTTGTAAGGGCTTGTGCAAGGGGTGTTACGGGGCTTTGGTGTAGGGGCTGCGGCTGTTGCGAAGGGCTCCGAACCCTCTTCAACTAAGGAGCCACAAGGCTTCATAGGGTTTATGGTTAAGGTATGTTTAGGGCTTTAGGATGTGTTGTTGTTTTTACACCTTCAGATAAGGAATCGGAGGGCGATATGGGATTTGTTGACGCCTCTTCTTACGGGGGGTTTCGTCGTTTTGCATGGCAAGAGACTACTTTGGGTCTTAAGGAGCCGCGCATAGTCTTAAGCCGCGTATTTTCATTAAGGGGGGAAGTAGGGGGCAATCGGCCCTTTGGTTCTGTGAAAGGCTTCCAAGACCGCCGTGGTTCAGGAATCCTAGGGCTTCGTTTAAGAGTTGTGTGTGTCAATGCTCTCTGGCTAAGGGTTCTAGAGGATCTGGCTCCGTCAAAGGGCTAACCAAGAACTAAAGAGCCTCAGGGGATTTATAGTTTTTTTGCTGGGCGTCTACTGTGCAGAAGGCTTTACAGCTGTTGGGAACTTGCTTTTGTTTGATCCGTTTTTGGGCTGCGGTTTCTTTTTATGGGGGATCACAGACAAACATGTTCTGCGTGCCTCCTGAGCAGAGTAGAGTAGAGTCGGAGTAGAGTTGCTCTGGAATGATTTTCCTAGGCTCAGCACTTCAGACCCGAAACCCTAAAAAGTAGAGCCTTAGATGTTCGAGGGTAGGGGTTTGGGGTTCAGGGCCGCTTGAACCCGAAACCCTAGCACTGACAATTCCTTCTAACCATTATCAATCCTAAACCCTAAACAACTGTCAAGCAGACCGAAGCGGTTAAGGGCTTCGGAGAGGGCATAGGTGTCCAAATCAGCAGCCGTACTTTCCCTTAGCAGTTTTCCTTAGTAGACATCCCAAGCGTTCATGGAACCTCTCCCCGCGCCTGCACCCACCAAAATAGAACTGCTTGGAAGCAGCTGAGACTACCAATTCTTGATTTAGGGCCTAGGGGCTGAAGGTGTTAGACATTCGGTTTGTGGTTCTGGGGTTCGGTTAGCAAACCTACGTAGTTTAGGTCTAGATGGCTTAGACAGTCTTGAGGTTTAGGATACGTAAACCGGTCGAGATATGTTTTAGATCATATATACTGTCTTCTTAAACCCCAAACCCCTATAGAACCCTTCTCCCTAAACCCATAAATCCCTAAACCCTAAACCCATAAATCCTAAACCCCACACCGACAAGACCCTAAGCAAATGGCCGAAGGTTCGCCGACGAATCTCTGTGGAGGACCTGTTGGGGCGAAGCCTAAACCGTACTTGGAGGGTCGGGGGAATTCCCAAAGGCTCCATGTACCCATATAGTAGGTACTTAGGCCTTAAAGTACCCATATAGGGACCCCTTTAAGGCCTGAGTATATATCTACTATATGGGTACATGGAGCCTGAGGGATGTCATAAGCAGGTAATAAGTAGACCTATAAGCACCCTAAACAAGACTCAAGAATCCTATTTAGGGTTGAGATACACATAAGTGTACAAATAGCTACTTGCTAAGTCCCTGACCTTTCAAGTAAGAAGCGAGGGATGTGCTCTCCTCGCGTTACGCAGGGCTTAGAGCTAAAGATGTAGGCTTGAGAACCCAAAAGAATATTACAGGTATGTTTTTTATTATGGTTCTAAGGATGGTATAGTATAGATCCCTTTTAAGGAACCCTTTTGTAGGTCCACCTTCGACATCAAGCTGTTGTCGGTGTCAGGCTCGCCGAAGCCAGGAGCTTCACGGTCTATCGGAGCAAGCTCAGAGATCCCACTTGGAGGGTCGGGGGGGGACTTAGTAAGTAGGTAGTAAGTAGACTTATAAGTACCCTAAAAGGGACCGTAATTGGGGTTATGATACTTAGAAGTCCTTAAAATAACCAGTTACTAAGTCCCCCGACCCTGCAAGTACTTAAAGAGTATACCTTCCCCTATGCCTCCAGGGACCTTATTATCGGGTCCTTAACGGGCCTAGGGCCCTAACTATGAGGTCCTTGGAGGGATAGGGTTAAATTACAGAAGCCCAGAGATCCCAAGATCCCTTCGGTTGATGATATAAACCCTGCATGACCCATAATGAGGAATATACCATAATTCCCATATATTCATGGGTAATGCAGGATTTATATCATCAACCGTTACATAAAGAGTGTATCTTAAATTATGGAGGCCTTATTATTTTTGCTCCGAACAAGGCGATGGTTTCAGGGAGATCCAAGCACCTACCCAACTTGGAGGCCCAGGGGAGTAAGTCGGTTGTAAGTACTTAGGGTACTTAGAATTATTTTTCAATGTTTGGTTATTATAATCGCTAAGAAACAGCTAAAACTACAATTTTGATAGGGTTCTAAGTTCAGTATAGAGTAGGGTTATAATTGAGGTAATTCCATTTAAGGTACTCATAGCTCTACTTATAGCCTACTTACTAAGTCCCCTGCCCCTCCAAGCAAGTCTTGAACCTTGCCAAGGGATCTAACCCGGAGGCTCCACATACAATACCATTATGAAGTTAGGCCCCTAAAACCATAATGGCAATGGCCTTTTGTGACCTAATTCCATAATGGTAGTATATACGGAGCCTTTAGAGTCTCCTAAGCATATAACTGGGTGAATTCCCCAAACCGGCCCTACCTGGAACCTATAAAACCTAAAGGTTCTAAGGTTACCTGATTATGACTTCTGTTTATCAGTCCTAAAGAAAAGGATAGGTTATTTGTGATTATAAGGTATATGTATAAACGGCACATGCCCCAAACCCGAGCTTATCGGCCCAAGGAGTCAGTTAGGTATACGATTGTATTCCCGTACTTTAACATACCCCCCAAAAAAAACATGAAAAGCCCATCTCAATTATTGGTTCCCCTATACTAAACCCTCACATAGTAGCCTTGTAGCAACCCTAAGAGGAACCCTTATAGAAACCCCAATTGAAGTTTTAAGGCCCGTCTATTACGCCTTAGACCTTCAGATCCTTCCAAGCCTTCGTGAGGAATCCCCGCTTCGTGAGGGCCGTGGTGGAGGAAAACGGAACCTTGGCCGAGTAGTTTGGAGTCCTGTGTACGGTTTACGGTTTATTTTGGGGGTCTAGGCTGTCGCGCTTAGGGTTTATTTCCGAGTTCAGGGCTATAAGCTTTAGGGTTTGGGTCAGGGTTACTGTATATCAACATAGAGGCGTATTAAGGGACTTGCTATACCCTTTAGAGTCCCCAAAATCTCTAAACCTGAATCCTCCACCTAAGCCCTAAACCTAAACCCTAAACCCCTTAACCACCAAACCCCTACACCCCTAAACCCTGAACCTCTAATCCCCTTAACCCCTAAAACCCCTAAACCCCTAAACTTAAATCCTCAACCTAAACCCGCAACCCATCAGGCCTCCTCCTGCACTACGCCCCGGAGAGCGTGCGGAGCTCCAGCAGCTCGTCCCGAGGGCTTCCAAAGCCGCTTGAAGGGTTTAGGGTTTTGAAATTTAGGGTTTAGGGTTAATGGCAGGGGTGTACTTACCTTGGGTTAGTACGTAGGGAATGGAGGAATGGGGTACAATTATAAGTATACTATTACTACCATTATTCCATTCCCTTCCCAACCAAAGGTAAGTCTAAGAAGGGTTGAGGTTAGGTACGGCCCCCACTCAGCAATAGTTGAATAATATTCATAATACAGATATATTAGGACCATAATAGTAGCCCTATTATAGACTCTTACTGTATGGGGGCCGTACCCAAGGTTGAGGGGTTTAGGGCTTCGGACTCTCGGGCTTTAGGGGTTTTTGGGGTTTAAGGGGTTTAGGATTTAAGGCCTTAGAGTTAAAGAGTTTCGGGTGTATAGACTTGAGGGTTCAGACTTTGGGGTTCAGGGTTTGGGGCGAGACTTGAGGGCTCGGAATCTGTGATTTTCTGGGCGCGTTTTTTTTGAGTTTGCGGTGTTTTGAAGGCTTGAATTTCCGGCGAGGGTGTTGTAGGGCTTATGATATAAATCCTGCATAACCTTAAGGACCCTACACTATGGGAATTATGGTATGTTCCGTATTGTGGGTAATGCAGCTTGTTTTTCTGGGGTTTGGGATTCAGACATGGACTCTTTTCCCAGGAGATATCGTGAAAGCAGCGGCGACGCACCACGGAGAGGCGCCTTTGCACCCTTTGTCTCAGCGCCATGCACCTTTGGTTGTGAAAGGTTTAGCAGGTAATAATCCCGAATCACCTACCTTTCTAAGGACTTAGATAAGGCATAAGGAGCGCTGAAAAGGTAGGTGTTACAGGGTTCGGGTAAGTGTCAGATGCGGTTGTTATTGCTTGAGGTAAGGTCTACGTCAAATCGTGGCTGTAGGCAAGGTGTGCGGTTGGTCTGGGGTTTAAGGACCTTCAGCCCAGAAATCTTGCAAAGCTACATGATGAAAACTCAATCCTGAACCTCCAGAAGCCCAGCCCTAAGAGTCCAAGACATAGTGATCAGACACTTCCCATGATGCACGATAATACTACTAAGCCTAAGGATCAAAGTGTATAGCCCAAGAGCCTTATATAGTATGGTCTTTGGGCCCAAAAGCCTCAATATATGAGTCCTTAGATCCCCAAGGTAAGCTACGATTATGGTGCTGGTCTTGAGGGTCGTTGGTTACCTAGGATAGCCAGTGCTACCCTTATTCCCTTTTTTGTAGTCCCTGGTTCCTTATAAAGTTGCCCAATACCGACCCTTTTTATTCCTAGCTTACTGGGCATCCTACTAATACTATGAGTCCCGATAATTCCTACATGGTATGAACCTTAAATGCTTGCGAAACCTTACCGGGAGCAACCAAGGCGTGTCTTAGAGTGGCAGGATTTCGTGTTTCCATGGGTACATTGAGATTCAACCTTCAATCCCACTTCCTTCTACACAAAAACTGTGGAAACGAAAATGAAGAAGGACTCTCCGAATAATATCGTCGAGTCAGCATTGTGACCGCCTATTCTACCCCAAATACCACTATTAGGGGACCATAAGGCCTCCATGAAAGGGCCCCCAAGGGGGTTCCTGGTAAACCCTAAAACCTCCAGAAACCCCGAAACCCTAAACCTCCAGAAACCCTTTAAAGAAACCCTTAAAGGAACCGTTACAGGATCCCCAAACCCTAAACCCTGAAACCTAAAATCCTGACATCTGAACCCTAAACCTTGAAACCTAAACCCCCAGACCCCTAAACCCTAAAACCTAAACCCTAAACCCTGAAACCTAAACCCCTAAACCCTTAAACCCTAAACCCTGAACCCCTAAACCCCTAAACCCTAATCCCTCTTTTAGAGGCCCCCAAGAGGGGCTCCTGGTTGCTAGGCTTTGCGCTACGCTTCTGAGGAGCTGTGGCTCGGCTGCAGAATCCAGAGCTTCCAACATCCCAGACCTCCGGGAGGATCCAAAAAGTAGATCCCTTAATGGGGGTTCCGATAAAGTACCCTTAGTAGTATAGTAGAAGCCAGAAAGTTGGAAGATGGTTTTAGGAGGATTAGTGCTAGGATCCCTTATACTTTACCTTAAGGGCATGAGGACGATGATGTTCCAACTTTCTGGCTTCTACTGTATAGGGCTCCAAATTAGGGGATCTACTTTCTAGATCCTCCCGGGAGTCTGGGAATCCAAAGCTTCCAATATCCCATAAAGGGGTGTCAGAGTTTCCGAAAACTAGGGGGTACTTGGAGGGTCGAGGGACTTAGTAAGTAGGTAGTAAGTAGACTTATAAGTACCCTAAAAGGGACCCTAATTGGGGTTATGGTACTTATAAGTCCTTAAAATAACCAGTTACTAAGTCCCCCGACCCTCCAAGTACCTTAGGGTTCCTTGAAAGTACTATAAGGGTTCCTTTAAAGGGCCCTATAAGGGTTTGGAGTTTCCGAAAATTAGGAGTACCGTATTTGGGGGGTCCTTGTAAATTGGATCCTTGCGTTTGGGGTACTATATTACGGTCCCCTGTTTTCGGAAACTCCCATCTACCTAAATGTTCCTGAAACGGATGTAGAAGGGTTCTATGTACCTAACAGTTCCTTAAAGGCTTCCTTACAGGGTTCCTTAAGGGGTTCCTTAAAGGGTTCCTTAAGAGGTTCCTTTACGGGCTCCTTCAAGGAATCCTCAAGGGTTCTATAAGTTAAAGTACAAGCCAGAAAGTTGGAATATTATTATCCTAAACCCTTTATGGTAAATTATAGGGTATCCTACCCTGAAACCATATTCCAACTTTCTGGAGTTCCCTTTAAGGGGCTGCAGAAGCCTTCGGCGCACAGGGTTTATCGTAGTAGCTGAGTAGATACCCAGAGATCCCAATACCCCTTGATTAAGGAATATACCTGAAACCATAATATGAAGGCCCCTATAATTTAAGGTATATTCCTTAATTAAGAGATATTGGGATCTCTGGGTAAACCTTACCCTGAACCCTAAACCCTAAGCCTTTAAACCGCACAGCGTATGTATGCGCCAGGGAGCTGAGCCATCAAGTTACTTATCAGGGCTGTGCAGAGGCTTTGTAGGCGTTGCATGGCATTACAATATGCAGGTATGGCTCTAGGATTTTCGTTCGTTCTTTCAGGGCCATGGCTTCAGGTTTCGAGGTTTGTTTGTATTAAGGTTTTTTTTGATTTTTTGAGTGTGGGGTTGTGCAACAAGGATCCCTGTATTTCTCATTACAATCCAGTCCATCGCTGAGCTGTCGTGGTATGTTGGAGCTTTGGTTTACGTGTTTTCCCCGCGTTTGTGGATTCGGAAAACAAAGTCCTGAATTCGAACATCATGAAGATGATGTTGACGGCATTAGAAGAAGAAGAAGTATGATGTTGCCGTATACAGATCTCCATGCGGATGCTGCTGCTGATGGTCATGACGGAGATGGTCTGGACGATCATGACCGTTATGCTGCGACACTTCCTATCATGAGATTAATTAAGTGACATCACGCACGCACACACACACACACACACTGGGCCTTGCTAGGGGCTCTTATGAGGTAGTTTTATTGGGAAGTTTGAGCTTTTTTCCCCGTAGGTATTTGGGAAGTAAGCAAGGCCCCAAGGACAGAGCTCATAACCCACACAATAGGTCTTGCTAGCATTCTCATTCTGCTCTTACATCGCCCCATAGTAGAAGCCAGAAAGTTGGGACATCCTTACCCTCATGCCCTTAAGGTAAAGTGTAACGGATCCTAGCACTGATCCCCCGAAAGCCATGTTCCAACTTTCTGGGGTTCACTGTAAGGAAAGAGCGGAACCCATAAACCCTAAAGCCCTAAACCCATAAGCCCTAAACTCATAAACCCTAAACCCTAAACCCATAAATCCTAAACCCCCAAACCCTAAACCCTGAACCGAATGCCTGAAAATCCTAACAGGAGCCCCCGGAGGTCCGGAAGCCCTAAAGCCTAAGCCCTAAACCCTGCCCTACATCGTACCCTATGCCTCCAGGGACCTTATTATGGGGTCCTTAAGGGGTCTAGGGCCCTAACTATGATGTCCTTGGAGGGATAGGGGTAGTAATACAGGATTCCTTCAAAAGGTCATAGGGCATTGGGTTTAGCATTTTTAGGTTTTGGGTTCGATACTATAAGGGCTACAGAAAGTGTCATATGATCTATGTGGGGGCTTGAATAATTACTTCAAGGCCCCAAAGTAGTTCATTTTTGGGCTTCATATATAGAATCTTATCGGGTAATCCCAAAAAGGAACTACTATGGGGCCTCTGGGTAGAACGAGGAAGGCGGACCGTTCTCTCGTCACGTTCGCCGTGGAGCGTCATGCCTTTGCCTTGGTGGAGCTGGATCGGGCTCAGGGATTAGGGTTTTGGGGGTTTAGGTTTCAGGGTTCAGGGTTTTGGGTTTAGGTTTTGGGGTTTAGGTTTTAGGGTTTTGGGTTTTGGGTTCAGGGTTTAGGGGTGTAGGGTTCAGGGGTCCACTTTGTGGGTGGTTTACAGTGATGCTCTGTTGTAATAGGATGTTAGGTTCTGTCTGGTGTTGTTTCACATGGGTTGTGGTTTAAGGATCCGTTTCTGGTTGGTTTACGGCTTGAATCAGGAGTAAAAGATGCAATCCTGGAAGACTTTTGAATTATGGAGGGGACTGTTCGTGGGATTCGGGTTCTACATCACCTTTATACGAAGGCCCTTAAGGCTAAAGTCTCAACTCGATAACTAGGTACATAAACCCTACAGAACCCGATAGCAAAATCAATTAAACCTCGAGAAGGCCCGACAGAACCCATCAAGGAACCCACTGTAAACTAAGCCGTAAGCTGTTTAGATGTACATGAACCCCTGTGAGCTTCAGAGACACGGTTGATGACATAAGTCCTGCATTACCCATAGTAGGGAATATATGAAATTTAAGGTATATTTCTTATCAAGGGTAATGCAGGATGTCCTTTTCAATATTCGCGCCATGCCCCAAGCAACACTGCGGCATTCGGCTTACCATACCCCAAGCTGCCAAGTCTGGCGTCCAATACTGTTTATGATACAAATCCTGCATTACCCTAAGGACCCTAAACTATGGGAATTATGGCATATTCCTTGTTCTGGGTAATGCAGGATGTATACCATCAACTGTAGTAACAGCAATAGTAAGCCTTATCATTATCAGTAGAAGTCGTCGTAGTCCCGAGACAAGCATATAGTTATGGATCGCAAAAGGGCGGCGGCAGGCTCTTTTCACCTCCGAGCTGCTGTTCGGTTTCCCACCGTAGCATCTGAGCTCTTCGGGTTGAGACACATGCTTGACAGAGCCGCAAATCACCCAAACCTTCCCATATCCCTTCATTGAGGAATATAGCTTAAACTGTCGTAGGGATCACTGATGCATTTGTTCAGAATATTCCGTAGTTAAGGGAAGGTCTGGGCATATCATCCCAAGTATACCACACTTTAGTTCTTTAGAGCCTCAAGGTCACGGCCCTGCAGTTTGCCGCCGCGGGGGACTCAAGAGCATGCTGAGATGTGCCCAGAGGAATATACCTGAATTGAGGAATATACCTTAAGTTATAGTTATAGTAGGATCCCTAATATGATTTAAGGTATATTCCTTAACTAAGGGATATTGGAGTCTCTGGGTGGGATAAAGGGCATCACCCCACATAGCCCAATGTACCTTGTCTAACCCAGGAATTACGTTGTTGTTGCGATGCCCGTACAAGGCTGTATAGGTTTTAAGCAGGCCTGTATGGGGCGCAGAGGCGTCCCTAATGAAGGACTATGCTTGCGCTAGATAAGAACTTGTTATGGTTTGTAGGAGGCGGCATGGGCTCTTCGGGTATAACCGTCCAGCAAACTGCAACCCTCAAAGTCATGACTGATAAGAACCAAAGGCTGGAGTTAGTATTTACTTGGCTTAGGTTTGGAGCTTCATTGTGGCTGTCCAGTTCAGTGTTTGCAAGGGCATAAACTGTGCATAATCAGATTCAGGGAGGGCATCGTGTTGTGGAGGATATCTTTGAAGAGCAAGGTGGGAAATAGGGGAGCCTAGATAATTGCCAATATTACTGTTTTGGTGGCTTATTACAGATTTAAATATAGTAGAGTATCGCTATTCTATTTTTTAAGGCCCCGATACCACGATCTCACAACAGCGCCTTCCATGAAGGATTGCTCATTTCGCCTTGAATCTGTAAGCTCCGGTAGCCCAAGAGGTCCATGTACCACAGTAATCATAGGCGGGGAGATTGTCGAAGCCAAGGTTCCTCTCGAGATCCCCAAGAAATTGTAACAAAGGAAGGCAGCCCTCTTGTAGTAAGCACCACCAAATGCCAAAAGGACCCTAACAACGGGAACCACCCATGTATTACTCAGCAAATTACATGTTGGGCCCTTTGGAACTTTCTTATACGGCCTTAAAACTTTTAAGCATTCAAACTCTAAACCCCAAGCTCTGAACCTTATCCTCCCAGAGTTCTCTCTCTTCCCTTTCGAGGACAACCTGCGCGCCGATCGTGCCTTTGTCGAGTCGCTCATGGCGACTCTGAAGGAAATGGGAGTTTCCGACAGTAGCGGGGGTTACCTTATTTGGGGGTCCTTATTATAATAAGGATCCTACTATTTAGGGTGCTGTATTAGAGTCCCCTATTTCCGGAAACTGCCAAATCGGTTTGGATAATCATAAATATGGGTGTTTCAGAGGGTCTAAAACAACGGCATTGCCGAGAGAGAGAGAGAGAGAGATATGGGTGTTTCAGAGGGTCTAAAACAACGGCATTGCCGAGAGAGAGAGAGAGAGAGAGAGAGGTAGAGCGAGAGAGAGAGAGAGAGACACAGAGAGAGAGAGAGAGAGAGAGACAGAGAGAGAGGGGAAAAGAGAAGGGAGGGAGGAAGATCGGTGAGGGCGAAAGAGAGCACAGAACCGTTGAATACGTCAGTCTTCTCAAATCATCAAAATGGGCCTCCAGTGTTAACGGGATACCTTCAACTGATATGTAAGGAGCCTTCGACCAAAGTTACAGGAATATACTATAGGGGCCTAAATAATTACCTATACTATTTGGGGGTTCCCTACTATATGTATAAAACCCGAGGCCCCCTACATCAGCTCGCCTACCTTGCAGGGTTTGCTCTTGAACATAGAGTTTCGCATTTGACGGAGCATGAGTGAGAAAGAGCCGCGGAACCCCAGAACCACCACCATAAGGACCATAAGGTTCCCGACAGAGGGTCCAAGTACCCAAACTTGAAACGAAAACCCTGTCAGAGTATGGAATCCGTGACCTCCAGCAGTACTGATTGGGTACTTGGACCCTGGGTATGAACTCCTACACAGGATTTAACAATGTGTGGAAACCTTACCTTCAATGCTCTGAGCTTTAACGGCCAACGAACCTGAGGCCAAGAATCCAAGAGCTTTCGCCCATGCGGCGGAGTCGCTCCGTTCCAACCGCGACCTTGTGCTCCTCGGTGGCTCAAGAATGGCCTTTACTTGGAAGGGCATTGGACTTAGTAAGTAGATTATAAGTAGGGTTATAAGTACCCTAAATGGAAGTACCCCAAGTAAAACTCTACTTATAACCTACTTACTAAGTCCCCTGCCCCTCCAAGTACCACATATTATTATACGCTCAGCGACCCAAAACAGACACAAGCAGAAACACGTTACATTGACATCCCTACATCATTGGGTTTCATGATAAGGGTGTTTATCTGGGATTTCTTATCCTGAATTTGTTTTTGCTTATGATACGCGTACATGTACATTTAAGGGCTTCGATTTCCTACATGTTGCAAGGTTTATACGGCTTGGGGATGCTCCAGGGACAAACCCGAAAGGGCCCAAAGGACCCAAAGGGGTGGTTGTCAAAATGATGGTGCCTTTTTTGGTACCCTTGTAAATAAGTGCCGTATAATAATATTGAGCCAAAAGGGACCCTAATTTTGACAACCACCCATATAGACAATATTCAGGCCTTGAAGGGGTTCCTCTATAGGCACTTCAGGCCCGACTTATGTACTATATAGGTACATGAACCCTACTACCAAGTGGTCCGACATCCAGCAAACTTCCATTCACCCAAAGAGACGGCTTGGATATTCATGTCAGGCTCTAAGACAAAAAAGACAAAAGGTTATGAGTTTCAGGGTTTAGGGGTTTAGGTTTTTAGGGGTTTAGGCTTTAGGGGTTTAGGGTTGAGGGGCCCACACCCTGAAAACTGTAAGCAGGTGTCTCAGTAGTACCCGTTTACCCCTTTTACTCTGGGGTCTCCTTGTTAAACTTGAACTGACTAGTAAGTAAAATTCTCAGTAGTACCCGTTTACCCTTTTTATTCTGGGGTCACCTTACTATACTGGAACTGACTAGTAAGCAAGGGTACCCTTATTGTAAAGGGAACCTCGAATCTTAGATAACAGAAATCCAGAACCGCTGCACAACCCGTATCGGAACGATTCTAGGGAATCCGGGGGCGGCGGTCCTGGAGGACGATCGGGCGGGCGAACACCTTATCTACCTGGAGCGCACCCTACGCTACCCTTAGAGAGGCACCGCTTCCAGAGATCCCAATATCTCTGAATTAGGGAATATACCTTAAACCATAGTATGAAGACCCCTGTAATTTCAGGGTATACAGTAGAAGCCCAAAAGTTGGAAACCCAATAGCCTCAATCCTTAAGAGTAATGTATAGGGAATCCCAGCACTATTTGGCCTTAATCCGCTTTCCAACTTTATGGGGATTACTGTATACCATCATTCCCATAGCCTAGGGTCCTTAACGTAATGCAGGATCTATATCACCGACACTGCGGATTGGCTTACTGTATTCCTTATAACTTAAGTGATATCAGATCTCTGAGCTTCCGGTTGATGATATAAATGCTGCATTACCCATAATAAGGAATATGTGGGAATTGTGGTATATACCTTATTATGGGTAACGGTTTAGGGTTTGGGGTTTTGGGTTTAGGGTTTAGGGTTTTGGGTTTAGGGTCATGCAGGATTTATATCATCAACCGTTCTGCAGGTTTGCCATGGTGAAGAAGGATGAGAACATGCTCCAGCTCCTGGCCTCGGATCTTTTTTGCTAAGACTCCAAATGGGTGGTTGTCAAAATTAGGGTCCCTTTTTGGTGGTCCTTAATATAATTCGCACCTATTATTTAAGGAACCCAAGAAGGGACCATAATTTTGACAACCACCCAAATACCCCAAAGTAGGAAGTTTTTTCCAGACTTTAGACCCCAAAGTAGGTACTATGTGAATACTTGGAGTCTTAGGGTTTTGCTGGGCTTCCATAAGGCAGCTGTCAAAATTAGGGTGCCTTCTTTGGGATACCTCAAATAGTAGGTGCCGTATTTTCTTAGGGAGCCAAAAAGGGATCATACTTTTGACAACCACCCATAAGGGTTATATAGTTGGGTTCCCGTTGTAGGTGTATAAAGAGTTCTATAATTGGGTGCCCTCTGAGGGTACTATAGGGGTTCCACAAGAGATTTTCCAAGGATTCCTTTAAGGATTCTTTAAGCGTAATGTCCTTGTTATAGGGCTTTGGAGAGCAGAGAAATTCATCGGATTCTGTTGAACTATTGCCATTGCCGCAAAAGCCTGCGTGGCAGAATATTAGGAGTGTGGAGTGTGTGAAGTTTGTAAAAACCGAGGCCAAAGAGCAGGCAGGCAGATCTCCCTGCTGCTTAGTAGGGAATGGGGGAATGGATTATGGGGACTATGAGTGGGGATTATATATGGACGACAAAAGGGATCCATTCCCCCATACCCTGCTTGCAGGGGCAGGGGACTTAGTAAGTAGGTTATAAGTAGGGTTATAATTGGGGTAACTCCATTTAGGGTACTTTTAACTCTACTTATAACCCACTTACTAAGTCCCCTGCCCCTCCAAGTACGAAGCACCATGGAGACATGGAGAGGCAAATGGGTATCTTTCACTCTTCGGGCAGCGAAGCGACAAGCTTCGCCCTCTCCTTTCACGGCACGATGCTGCCGCCCCGCCCTCCCAGCACCACCGAACTCGTTGAACGGCTGCTGAGGCAAACGGAGTCGCATGTTACAGATCTTAGACGACTCCTCGCGTTACTGCCGTACGCCGACAAGCTTGGCACCCTCATCGCTGCGCGCGCGCGGCCGGGAGCATTGGCATCAAGCAAGAGCCCACAGCTGCGGAGCCCAGTGAACACAGGCAAGCACACACCGGGTAGTGACGCAGGACGCCGCAGGGTAGTGAGGCCAGGCGCCACCGAGGTTCAGGGATCGATGAAGTATCAATGCAGAATAGCAGGCTCTGACCCTTTCGTCGATGGTTTTTTGCCGAGCCGAAATCCAAAGAAATTCAACTCTGGGTTGCTGGCATGTTGCCGCCTTGAGTTTGGCAATGACTTCTGAGATTCTCAAGTTTTCTCGCAACAGATTCGGTTTCTTTAAAACTCCTCGAGTTGCACAACACACTAAGACCGACTATCCTTATAACTTAGTTGTAAGCTGACATGTAATCTGCACCCCGTAAGTTAAATGTAACCCGACAAGTCAACTCCCAAAGGCTCCATGTACCCTTATAGTAGATACTTAAGCCCCAAAGTAGTCCCTATATAGGTACTTTAAGGCCAAAGTATCTACTATAAGGGTACATGGAGCCTTAGGGACTTATAGCCAATCCGGAATCATAGTACGTCAAGTTGGAATGTCCTAAGATGCTAAACCCCGAAGCCCCCAAACCCTAAACCTGAACCCTGAACCCCCGACCGCTGAGGTAAAGTATACCTAGTAGCTAGTATTACTATGTTGCTAATTGGTAGCATAAGTGTTTGTGTGTATCCTTGCTTGCTATGGCAGCTCGGATTAAGATGCTCTAATGGATTCCGTATGACCTGTGGCCTACTACACCTTCCCTATGATCTAATCATTTCCGTGTGGGAAAAGGCCATTCGAGATTTGCACAAGGTATGCTTCCGATGAGCTTCGAGCTGATCGCGATTTCATCCTGCAGGCCTGGGTTCACAGGCTTTTCGATCTCAAGATGGGAGCTTCCGAAAATTGGGGGTACCTTATTTCGGGGTCCTTGTAATTAGGATCCTACTATTTAGGGTACTATACTAGGGTCCCCTATTTTCGGAAACTCCCAAATAGTTGAGGACTTACGCAGGAAAATCGCAACAAGGTAAACAGGCAGGGTTCGTAAGGGCCAGGTTGGAGTTTAGGTGTAGGGATCCTTCTGTAGGAGTTCTTCAAGCAAGGATCTTAACATTGAGTGGACTTGTATGGTTTTGAGGGGGGGCTCTCTTGGGCTTCTTTAGAATTCCAGGGTACCCTCTATGGGGCTCCTTCCCATCCTGATTCTACTGCCGAGGTGGCTTGTTTTGCAAGGCTTCTCCTAGGCATCCAAGCACCCAAAGAGTAGGGTTTTAGGTACCAGTAAACATTCAAAGACTAGTTCGCTTCGGGCACTTTAGGCAATTCAGGTTCTAGCAAGTAAGCCTAGCCCCCTTGGTCACAGTTGGGTAACATTTTACATGTTTATGGGAAAAACCCAATAAAAAAAAACATGCGTTTTTAATCCTATCCCAACAATGAACTCGTACCTGCAAGGTGTAATGACCTCGTAAGCATTTGGTAGAATCTCATGGTTTCCGGGCACATCAATCGTTACAGTTGTAGCCAAAAAGTTGGGACATTATGGTACTCATTCCATTATGGTAAACTATAAGGGAATCCTAGCGCTAAGCATCCCAAACCCATGTTCCAACTTTCTGGGGTTCGCTGTACTGTCGTGTCAGGTGTAAAGCCCCACAGTACTTAAAGGATCATGGGACCTAGTAATTAGGCTTATAAGTAAGGTACCTATACTTAGAATTACTTGTAACCCCCATCAGGGTACTTGTAACCTTACTTCCTAAGTCCCCTGATCCTCCAAGTAAGCCCTAAACCCCTAAACCCTAAGCTACCCTGAAACCTAAACCCCAACCCCCCCCCCCCCCTACCTATAATCATGAGCCAACAAGGGGCCCTAATTTTGACAACCACCCAGGTGCAAAGCCCCACAGTAGCCTTCTGGAGCCCCGCGAGTACTGTTGATGATAGAAATCCTGCATTACCTTAAGGACCCTAAACTATGGGAATTATGGTATATTCCGTATTATGGGTAGTGCAGGATTTATATCATCAATAGGAGTACCTCTGAAACCCCGGTGCACTCGAGGCGTTCTCCTTCAACCTAAGCCCCATCGCCTGCAGAGCAGTAAACCCTGCTTGGAGGGTCGGGGGACTTACGGTTGATGATATAAACCCTGCATTACCTTAAGGACCCTAAACGATGGGAAGTATGGTATATTCCTTATTTTGGTTCATGCAGGATTTATATCATCAACCGTAGTAAGTAGGTAGTAAGTAGACTTATAAGTACCCTAAAAGGGACCCTAATTGGGGTTATGGTACTTATAAGTCCTTGAAATAACCAGTTACTAAGTCCCCCGACCCTCCAAGTGAACCCTTTTAAAATCGGACACCTCTATTATCTAGGGCCCTTAAGAATCAGAATAGGGTTTTGGGGCCCATTCTACGATCATTATAATAAGGAACTCCCAGAATTGTATTGGTAATTCTTCTCCCTCCGTCGGCAGGTCGTCCAGATCCATGGAGATGCTGTGCGCCATGCTTGGCATACTCTCTGGGAGGACAGATCGGGTCGGGCCGCAGCGTCTTGTTTTGCAGCCCTAAGTACTAAGGGTCCAAGTAGTCCTTATTTATGTCCTATGATACTGAATACTTGGACCCTTAGGGTAGATGCTTCTTATACACTCGAACGTCGCATTTGTAGATATGTGGGAGTTTCCGAAAATGGGGGACCCTACTATAATGCCCTAAATAGTAGGATCATTATTGTAAGGACCCAAAAATAAAGAGGTATCCCTGATTTTCGGAAACACCCATGTAGGTTCTGGTTGGCTAGGTAGGATTTAGGTGGCTCTCGGCCACGGGGGTAGGGTCTTGGGTTCAAGGTCCAGGGTGTTGTAGCTGCACAGAGCTAGTCCCTTATTTGTCAGATGTGTAGGTATATACTGCTCTTCCATGAACCTACCAGAACCGAGAAGTTACGTTCTGTGAGCACATTATCGGGAGTTGAGTATCACGTCGTGCGTTTTTCTCGGGTTTCATCCTTGCGACTAGCACCTTGGAAGTAAAGACAGTCGCATGTAGCATTCTGCCAGCAGGTTAAGGTAATGTTAACATGCAGCGCAAGCCTTTCCAGCAAGAAGTGGGCAAATGCTACGATGAAGTGGTTGGGCTTTTTGCGTCATCGCTTGAAGGGTTCCCAACCCGACCTGCACATAAGTCTTCAACCTAGGTGCCATTTGTAAACGTATTCCGTCTGGTTACCGGGCAAGCTATAGTGTTGAGGCATCCATATTCCAAGGTCAATCGTTCCGTACAGCACCTGATACGAAGCCCGCGTTATCAAGTACATGTTAAACTCTAACCGTATGTTCCCGAGTGAATGGGCACCATAGAAGCCTGAATAACTACCGCTGCCAACCGTAGAACCCCAAGCCTTGTTATTCTAGTTCCAAACGCCCCGGTACTATTGGATTCCATGGTGGCTGAGTAGGTAGCCTTCAACCTTTTTAGGCTCATATAATCCTACTATAACTCAACAGGCTTGCACTTTTTTGTGCTATGTTACTCAGCCCTTAAGACTATGAAGGACCCCTAGTGCATTATCCTTTACAGTATCACTGGTAGGCCCCTTAACAGAAACCCAATAGATCATTTATATCATCAGCCGTAGTGAACTCTCTATGAGAATTATGAAGGCCCTTCATTTGCACCCCTCGAGGATCCTGTACAGAATCCCTTCTAGGCCCCTTGAAAGGGACCCTACGGGTACTCAGCCTCTAAGCATATAGCAGCATATATATACTATTGGACTCTCCTTGGTGGCAGAGGACCATGAGGTGATCCTCACCGCTGCACAGCAGAACCCCAGAGCTATCCGCCATGCGGGGAAGGCACGGGTCGGAATAGAGGGGTCGGAATAGAAATAGGGGCCTTAATAATTACCTATATCATTTTGGGCGTTTCCTTGTTATAAAAAACTATAAATACATAGTGTAATAGGCCCCCAAAGGGAATCTAAACTGATGCCACGCGAGAGGCTTCCTGGATCCTTGGCTGCTGTTGCAACCCATCGTAGCGGACATGGTGTTCCGAGAGCCCATTTTTAGAGCTCAGGGTCTAAAGGGAGTTTTTCCCGTGCTTTTATCAGCGTTTTACGATTTCCTACTAGTATTGAGTAGGGACGTTGGGCATTTGTGCATCCCTACGTAGTTCAACAGGTTCGAGCGGCTGGGTCAGGGGATGATTCAGAGCCACCGACATCGTAATTGAAAGGATGTTAACACAACAGAACAAATCACTACTCAAAAGTATTCTCCTTGGCTGCTCTATATATAGAAACATGCTGGATTATGCAACAGTGTACACCAAAACCCGCAACTTCCAACTGCAACAGTTGACTTGAAAATCGTGGCTTGAAGACGAGTAGTAGTCGTAGTAGTAGTAGTAGTAGTAGTAGTAGTAGTAGTCGTAGTCGTAGTCGTAGTCGTAGTCGTAGTCGTAGTCGTAGTAGTAGTAGTAGTAGTCGTCGTTAGTAGCAGAATAGTAGTAGTAGTAGTAGCAGTAGTAGTAGTAGTAGTAGTAGCAGCAGGAGTAGTAGTAGCAGTAGTAGTAGTAGTAGCAGCAGCAGCAGTAGTAGTAGTAGTAGTAGCAGCAGCAGTAGTAGTAGCAGCAGTAGTAGATATGGGGGCGTTAGCAATTTCAATAGCATTTAGGGTACCTTATGATTGCTACACTTTGATACGGACTGCACCGATGGCATAGTGCTTAAAAGATCTCCAAACCCTCTCTATTCAAGCCCTTCAAAGTTTCCGGCCTCAGTGTTGGAGATGTGTGCTCGGTTTGTTTAGGACCTAGGGTTTGGGATTTAAAGCTTTGGGGTTTAGGATTCTTCATCCCGTGGCGTTCGGCCCTAGCTGTCCCAATTTCGGGTCTTCGGGTCCCACACATGAGGGGGACGTTAATATAAGATACTATATTTTTTCTTTTGGGGGGGGTCCTTATTATAACTATAGTATCATGGGCCCCAAACCCCTCCCGTAATTATGACGGGCTGGGACATTGGGGTCCCTGCGATGCTTGCTGCGAGAGTGTGCCGTTGACAGACCTCGTTTGGGCGGACGACCTTTCTGCGTGTCTGGATGCCGAGACCCCTCAGCGAGCCGGACCGGTCGTTTCATCTGAGGCCGGGGCGCTGTGGATTCGTTCGCTTTGACTTGTCCTTTGGGCCGAAGATTTGATCTTCTGTGAGGATAGGGAGGCTTCTCAGAAGGGTACTTCTCAGTGTGTTTAACCCTATTCAACAATATTCAGAAATGCTTGAATTTCTGCTTAAATATTCGGAAATATTACGTTTTCTTCGGTAAACTTCCATAATATTCTTCATTCTTCCAGGTTCTTCACCATTATTCTTAGATCTTCGTAAATCTTCGAAATTATTCGAAATTATTCGAAACTATTCGAAATTATTCGAAATTATTCCAAATATTCCAAATTATTCGTTGTATCTGCGGAGAACTTCAAACACTTTTCTAGACCATTCTTCTCAGATCTTCGTAAATCTTCGAAATTCTTCGAAATTCTTCCAAATTCTTCGTTGTTTCTGCGGAGAACTTCAAACACTTTTCTAGACCATTCCTCTTAGATCTTCGTAAATCTTCGAAATTCTTCGTTGTATCTGCGGAGAATTCAAACACTTTTCTAGACTTCTGCTTGTTTCCCCCAGCTGAAACCGCCAGCTCGCACCCTGTTCGGAAATACATATCCTATAGCCAGGAAATTACAATTCGCACCCTTGTTTTTCTTGGATTCCAAGCACAAATCCTATGGGAAATTACAATTCGCACCCTGTTCGGAAATACATATCCTATGGGAAATTACAATTCGCACCCTTGTTTTTCTTGGATTCCAAGCACAAATCCTATGGTAAATTACAATTCGCACCCTGTTCGGAAATACATATCCTATGGGAAATTACAATTCGCACCCGTGTTTTTCTTGGATTCCAAGCACAAATCCTATGGGAAATTACAATTCGCACCCTGTTCGGAAATACATTAAGTAGACTCTGTTTCTTGGCATCCAGGTACAGCATCCTATGGGAAATTACAATTCGCACCCTTGTTTTTCTTGGATTCCAAGCACAAATCCTATGGGAAATTACAATTCGCACCCTGTTCGGAAATACATTAAGTAGACTCTGTTTCTTGGCATCCAGGTACAGCATCCTATGGGAAATTACAATTCGCACCCTTGTTTTTCTTGGATTCCAAGCACAAATCCTATGGGAAATTACAATTCGCACCCTGTTCGGAAATACATATCCTATGGGAAATTACAATTCGCACCCGCTCGCACCCTGATTAGCGCTTGTGTTTCTTGGATTCCAAGTACAAATCCTATGGGAAATTACAATTCGCACCCTGTTCGGAAATACATTAAGTAGACTCTGTTTCTTGGCATCCAGGTACAGCATCCTATGGGAAATTACAATTCGCACCCTTCTTTTTCTTGGATTCCAAGCACAAATCCTATGGGAAATTACAATTCGCACCCTGTTCGGAAATACATATCCTATGGGAAATTACACTTCGCACCCTTGTTTTTCTTGGGTTCCAAGCACAAATCCTATGGGAAATTACAATTCGCACCCTGTTCGGAAATACATATCCTATGGGAAATTACAATTCGCAGCCTTGTTTTTCTTGGACTCCAAGCACAAATCCTATGGGAAATGACAATTCGCACCCTGTTCGGAAATACATATCCTATGGGAAATTACAATTCGCACCCTTGTTTTTCTTGGATTCCAAGCACAAATCCTATGGGAAATTACAATTCGCACCCTGTTCGGAAATACATTAAGTAGACTCTGTTTCTTGGCATCCAGGTACAGCATCCTATGGGGAATTACAATTCGCACCCTTGTTTTTCTTGGATTCCAAGCACAAATCCTATGGGAAATTACAATTCGCACCCTGTTCGGAAATACATATCCTATGGGAAATTACAATTCGCACCCTTGTTTTTCTTGGATTCCAAGCACAAATCCTATGGGAAATTACAATTCGCACCCTGTTCGGAAATACATATCCTATGGGAAATTACAATTCGCACCCTTGTTTTTCTTGGATTCCAAGCACAAATCCTATGGGAAATTACAATTCGCACCCTGTTCGGAAATACATATCCTATGGGAAATTACAATTCGCACCCTTGTTTTTCTTGGATTCCAAGCACAAATCCTATGGGAAATTACAATTCTCACCCTGTTCGGAAATACATTAAGTAGACTCTGTTTCGTAACAACATGTTGTTGATTATTGTCGCATGTTTCAAAGCCGTGAACGCCGGGATGTGTAACAGTAAAAACAAGGAGCCTTGAGCCCTGAGCAAAAGTACTGGTAATTATTCCAGCTTCTTGGCTTCTATCTCATTGATGATTCGATGTTTATGATGATGACTATAACGACGTTCTATGTGGATGATAACAACGATGACTGATGATGGCCGATGCTGATTATGATGACGATTGTGAATATGTCGTTGGCGATGTGTATGATGATATATGATGATGATGTTGATGATTATAAAACCTGGGTTCTACGAAGAAGACTAGGGCTATGAAGACGATGATGGTGGTTTGATAATTATGACGAGCATGATGATGGTTTTAATAATTATGGCGAGGTTGGTGATGACCTTAATGGCGATTCTTCATATATTTATATCTGTTTACAGATATTACATATAGGTAGACACACACGTATATACATACATGTGTATGTATATACATACACAAACAATATATATAGATACAGACATGTATACATATATATATATATACAGACATGTTTGTGTATCTTCATATATATCTATATATACGCACCTATAAATATATACACATGCATGTATATACGTATGCGCAATTATGTATACATTTGTATGTGTGTGTAAATGAGTACATACATAGGTACATACATACATATATACATACATACATAGGCAGATACATCCATACATGCATACATACATAAGCACATGCATACACACACAGACACACACACACATAAACACCTACACATACGAACATACACACCTGCACACCCACACACACATGTACATACATACATACATACATACATATACATGCATACATACAAACATACATACATACACACGTATATACATACATCTAAACCCTAGGCCCTAAACCTAAGGCCCTAAACCCTAGGCCCTAAACGTAAGGCCCTAAACCCTAGGCCCTAAACCTAGGGCCCCAAACCCTAGGCCCTCAACCTAAAGCCCCAAACCCTAGGCCCTAAACCCCAGGCCCTAAACCCTAGGCCCTTAAAAAAAAAAAAAAAACCTAGGCCCTAAACGTAAGGCCCTAAACCCTAGGCACTAAACCTAAGGCCCTAAACCCTAGGCCCTAAACCTAAGGCCCCAAACCCTAGGCCCTAAACCCAAGGCCCTAAACCCAAGGCCCTAAACGCAAGGCCCTAAACCCTAGGCACTAAACCTAAGGCCCCAAACCCTAGGCCCTAAACCTAAGGCCCCAAACCCTAGGCCCTAAACCTAAGGCCCTAAACCCTAGGCCCTAAACGTATGGCCTAGGGGAGGGGGGGGGGGAGGGGCTGAAAATCGGGCAGCATTTCCTTCCCCCAAGCATGCCGGTAGAAAGGGGAAAAAAAGAGAAAAAAAAAGCAAACCTCAACCGAATAAAAGGTAGAAAAAGGTAGAAAAAGGTAGAAAAAGGTAGAAAAAGGTAGAAAAAGGTAGAAAAAGGTAGAAAAAGGTAGAAAAAGGTAGAAAAAAGTAGAAAAAGGTAGAAAAAGGTAGAAAAAAATAGAAAAAAGTAGAAAAAGGTAGAAAAAGGTAGAAAAAGGTAGAAAAAGGTAGAAAAAGGTAGAAAAAGGTAGAAAAGGTAGAAAAACGAAGAAATGGGGGATACCGTGTGTGTGTACAAATGAAAAAAATGGTGTTGGGAACCAGGCATGTCTTGACAGACAGGCAGAAACCGGAAGATTTTGGAAGAAAATTGCAGAATTCCGACGAATCTAGAAGAATTTAGAAGAATTTAAAAGCATGCAGCAGTCTTACGTAGAACAGGGAAGACTACAAGGCTTGCTCCAGACACTCGCACCAAAAGCATTTGCATGAATTTTGCATAAAAAAAACAAAAAAATTTCCTCGCTTCGCGAACATCCATATTTGTTTTCAACTCTAGTACTCCACACACACTACAAGGCTTGCTCCAGACGCCAGACACTCGCATCAAAAGCATTTGCATGAATTTTGCATAAAAAAACAAAAAAAATTTCTTCGCTTCGCGAACATCCATATTTTGTTTTCAACTCTAGTACTCCACACACACTACAAGGCTTGCTCCAGACACTCGCACCAAAAGCATTTGCATGAATTTTGCATAAAAAAAAACAAAAAAATTCCTCGCTTCGCGAACATCCATATTTGTTTTCAACTCTAGTACTCCACACACACTAATTACAAGGCTTGCTCCAGATACTCGCACCAAAAGCATTTGCATGAATTTTGCATAAAAAAAACAAAAAATTTCCTCGCTTCGCGAACATCCATATTTGTTTTCAACTCTAGTACTCCACACACACTACAAGGCTTGCTCCAGACACTCGCGCCAAAAGCATTTGCATGAATTTTGCATAAAAAACAAAAAATTTCCTCGCTTCGCGAACATCCATATTTGTTTTCAACTCTAGTACTCCACACACACTAATTACAAGGCTTGCTCCAGACACTCGCACCAAAAGCATTTGCATGAATTTTGCATAAAAAACAAAAAAATTTCCTCGCTTCGCGAACATCCATATTTGTTTTCAACTCTGGTACTCCACACACACTACAAGGCTTGCTCCAGACACTCGCACCAAAAGCATTTGCATGAATTTTGCATAAAAAACAAAAAAATTTCCTCGCTTCGCGAACATCCATATTTGTTTTCAACTCTAGTACTCCACACACACTACAAGGCTTGCTCCAGACACTCGCATCAAAAGCATTTGCATGAATTTTGCATAAAAAAACAAAAAATTTCTTCGCTTCGCGAACATCCATATTTGGTTTCGACTCTAGTACTCCACACACACTACAAGGCTTGCTCCAGACACTCGCACCAAAAGCATTTGCATGAATTTTGCATAAAAAAAACAAAAAATTTCCTCGCTTCGCGAACATCCATATTTGTTTTCAACTCTAGTACTCCACACACACTACAAGGCTTGCTCCAGACACTCGCACCAAAAGCATTTGCATGAATTTTGCATAAAAAAACAAAAAATTTCCTCGCTTCGCGAACATCCATATTTGTTTTCAACTCTAGTACTCCACACACACTACAAGGCTTGCTCCAGACACGCACCAAAAGCATTTGCATGAATTTTGCATAAAAAACAAAAAAATTTCCTCGCTTCGCGAACATAGCACAGGGTTTCAATTTTCCACACACATAGTCTATTACTCTGTTACTCTATTATTCTATTACTCTATTACTCTATTACTCAAATACTCTAGTACTCTATTAGTCTATTACTGTATTATTCTATTACTCTATTACTTCACTACTCGATTACTCATATTTGTCTTCAACTCTAGTACTCCCACAAAGTGGGTGTTTTCACCCAAACCCTAAACCCTACACCTTTAGACCCGAACAACCGTAAGCCCTAAACCCTAAACCTTTGAACCTTGAACCTCGGAAGTTGGCACCCTAAACTTTGTGGGCCCCGAAGCTGACCAATACTAGACCTAGAATCTTTAAACCCTAAACCTCGGTGTTCCATTTTGGCAGGTCCTCGAGCCGTGCCAGGAAGCCTAAACCATGAGCCCTAAACCCTAAACCGTGTTTAAGCCTCAAAGAAACCCTCACATAATTCGCATTTCTGCCACAATCTTCCAAATAATTTGTTTTTCTTCAATAATCTTCCAAATAATTCATTTTTCTTCAACAATCTTCCAAATAATTCGTTTTTCTTCAACAATCTTCCAAATAATTCAACAATCTTCTTAAATCTTCGGTAGTGGCTGAGAAGTACCCCTGCTGAGAAGTACCCCTAGGCTCATGAATGAATTTGAAAACTGCGGCGCTCATCTCGCCCAAGGATGTCGGCGCCCGCCAGGCCAGGAGGGACCTTTTCTCTGGCAAGGCTACCTTGTGTGTGCTCCGCGAGCACCAGGGACCGGCCGCCCTCCCTTTGGTTGACACGTACAAGCACCTCGGCGTCCTCCGGAAGGGCCGTTTGCCGGTGAGGTGCGAGCTTCCGCGAAGATTTGGGTTCCCCCCCTCCCCAAAACAGAGATGCTGAAGTAGAGCAGGCAGCCTTACGCCCTTTTGGGGTGGTACGGTTGATGATACAAATCCTGCAGTACCTTAAGGACCCTAAACTGTAAAGCTATGGGAATTATGGTACATTCCTTATTATGAGTCATGCAGGATTTAGATCATCAACCGTATCATATCCCCATGTACTTCCCAGGGGTGAACCTGTAGCTCCCTCGAAGAACTCCATGAATTGGGCTCCTTCTTGACGGTTTAGGATTTAGGGAGCGGTGCTCCTCTTTTAGGTTTGAAGGTTTGCCACTTACTTGAAGGCTCAGAGGACTTAGTAAGTAAGGTTATAAGTAGGTTATAATTGGGATAACCCCAGTTAGGGAACTTATAACCCCAATTATAACCTACTTACTAAGTCCCATGATCCTCTAAGTAGGGCTTACTCTTCAACCAGCGGCTGCTAAACTCTGAACCTACGCCCTACCTTAGGCCCTGAACCCTGAACTCTAAGCCCAGAAATCCCACTACCTCTAAATTAAGGAATATGCCCTAAAGCATAATATTAAGGCCCCCAAAATCTACGGTATATTCCTTAAATAACTAATAAAGGGATATTGGGATCTCTGAGAACCCTTAAAGCTGAGGAACAACCGCCCGTGACTTAAACCCCCTAAACACTAAACCCTAAACCCCCCAATAAACCTTAAACCCCAAATAAACCCTAAACCCTTAAACCTTAACCCTACAAACTCCTAAACCCTAAGCCGTACCTTATGCCCTAAACCCTATATAAACGCCAAACCCGTAGAGCTGAGGAACAACCGCGACTTCGTCTTGGGCATGGTGACGAAGAACTGGCGCGACTTGAGGCCGTCAAGAGCTCCTCAGAGATTTTGGGAGTTTTGGATCCTTTAAGGGGTGGTACGTATAATAAGGGGGTCTTTAAGGACTACACTAAGGGATCTTAATATAGGGGCCTTTGGGGTACATGGAGGGTTCAGTGGACCTAGAGATCCGAATATCCCATAATTAAGGAATATCTAGGGTTCCCTTTAAAGGGATGCTTAAGGGTTCCTTTAATTAAGGGATCTACAAGCAAGGGATCTATAGGGTTTAGGGCTTAAGGGGATTCCAATAGCCCTTAATTAAGGAATATGCCTTGAATTATGGGGGGGGGGGGCCTTAATATTATGGTTGAAGGTATATTCGTCAATTAAGGGATATTGGGATCTCTGGGTCCATCCATGGTCGAGGGAGTTTAGTGAGTGGGTAGAAAGTAGACTTGAAGTGCCCTAAGCCGGATGCATTAGTTGGGGTTGTGGTACCGTACCTCTAACTCTGTATACCCTAAACGCTAAACCCTAAACCTTCCTTTCACTCTGCAAAATATCTGTGTACCAAGTCCCCCGACTTTCCAAGTCCATGACTCGGATAGGTTGGAGCCCCCCTTTGAGGTTTAGGCATTTAGGGTTTGGCGCTTTATGTCTCGAGTTTCGGATTTAGGCTTTGAGGGTCGAGGGTTTAGCATACTCAGAGATCCCAATACCCCTTAAGTAAGGATTATACCTCAAGTTCTAGGGGCCTTAATACTATGGTTGAAGGTATTTGTCTTCAATTAAGGGATATATTGGGATCTCTGGGTACCTTCTGGAGGGACTACCATCAGGTTTGTGAGGATCCACGTTCCCACTCTCCCAAAAGCACCAGGTTTAGGGTTTATGGCAGATCCCATCCCGACATAAACCCCCAAAGGCTCCATGTACCCTTATAGTAGATACTTAAGCCCCAAAGTAGTCCCTATATAGGTACTTTAAGGCCTAAGTATCTACTATAAGGGTACATGGAGCCTTAGGGACCATGACTGTGAAACTACGTTAAGTCCGAAGCATAGATCCCCCAGTATCACCTGCATGCCCCTTTCTATGTTGAGGTGTCCTTATTGGAGACTACCAGCAAGGTGCTCCGGCTGTATTACGGGGAGATTGGTGTAGAACCCGAAAAGGATTTTCAATGAAAGCCTTATAGAATGACAATAAAGCCCGTCATAGCCCCTGATATGTGCTTCTTTAGGAACCCATCATGACGGCCGACGGAAAACCCTAAGCCTTACTTGGAGGGGCAGGGGACTTAGTCAGTAGGTTATGAAAAGAGTTACGTACAAGTACCCTGGAAGGAGTTACCCCCAATTATAACCCTGCCCTGCTTATAACTTACTTACTAAGTCCCCTGCCCTCCAACTTAGAATCACGTGGTTGATTTTCGCTGGTCTCGTGCAGGCATGCATCGGACCGCGTGCGCAACGACAAGGAGATCGCCCGCGTTTGCATCCGACAAGACCCGCAGGACCCTGATTTGGGGGTTTGGGGTTTAGGGCTGGGCGAGGTGCAGGGTTACCCCGAGTTAGGGTTTGAGGTTTAGGGTTTGGGGGGGTGCAGAGTAACCATGGGGCTTAGGGTTGGGGGGGGTGCAGGGTTGGGGTATTTTAGGGCTTAATTAGGGGTTGGGGATTCAGGCGTTCAGGGTTAAGGGGTTCAAGCTTTAGGATTTCAATTCTGGCCCCAAACTCCACAGCATAGCAGCCACAATTGAAGATGACATAAACCTCTTTTCCACGGGTACTTCTCGCCAGGGGTAGTTCTTCTTGAGTTTTTCGTGATATAGCAATGTCAAAGAGTTTTGATTGGTCAGCACAGCAAGCTCTGTAACACGGAGACATGATCCACGTGAAACGTTTCAGGTTACTCCTGTTTTAGAGGTGAGTTGCTTACTCCAGGATTAGTCTTTGTGGAGTTGTCTTTACAATGGTTTTCCAAAAAGCTTCTTTCAGATATTTTTTGCGATTAGGGATCTGAGTAACTATTAACGGTATCCACTTATACATGCATTTGTCACGCCTCACCCTAAACCCCCAAACCCTAAGCCCTAAACCCCTTAACCCTAAACACCATCCCATAAGAACCCAGGAGCCTTGTTTTGGGGTCCTTATCATCAGGATCCGACAACTTAGGGTACCATATTACTTGGAGGGGCAGGGGACTTAGTAAGTAGGTTATAAGTAGGGTTATAATTGGGGTACTTATAACTTATAACTCTACTTACAACCTACTTACTAAGTCCCCTGCCCCTCCAAGTAGGGTCCCCTGCTTTCGGAAACTCCCATAAGGTACAAGCCAGAAAGTTGGAATATGATTATCCTAACCCTTCTATGGTAAATTATAGGGGATCCTACCATGAAACCATATTCCAACTTTCTGGAGTTCCCTGTAAGAGCGCAAGAGCCTGAAGAAAGAGCCCTTGTTTCGGGGAGGCCCTACAGTTCGTCGGGGCCCTGGCCGAGTGTGGGTGAAATCCGCCACGGTTTAGGGTTTTGCGGGTTCCTCAAAAGGGGTCCCTTATTTAAGGGTCCCTTTTAAGGGCTTTAGGCCTTTGAGGGTTCCTTAAAAAGGGTCCCTTGTTTAAGAGGGTTCCTTTCATTGTTTTGGGGTTTGGGGTGTGGGTGATTCGCCACGGTTTAGGGTTTAATATAGGGGCCTTAACAATTAGAATAGGGTTCCTTTAAAGGGGTTTATAAGGGCTACTATAAGGGATCTATAAGGGTGCTATACTTATAGTAATTAGAATAGGGTATAGGCTTATGGAGATCTAACTACTAAATGGTTCCAAGCTGTTCAGGGTTCATGGTTGAGGGAAATAGAGATCCGAGTAAAAGTAGTCATGCCCGACAAGCCCATCATACTTGTATTATGACATGCGTTTCTTTATTCCAAAAATGGCGAATGACGTAGGGCGCAACGGGGAAACACAAGGTTATGTAGGGAGTTAGGAAGCCTCAGCGCGGGTTTCGGTGAGGTCACTGCTGCATGCGTTGTATGTCTACCAGGTACTATAGGGGCCTAAATGATTGCAAATTCTATTTTGGGGGTTCCTTATTATATATATATATATAGAGAGAGAGAGAGAGAGAGAGAGAGAGAGAGAGAGAGAGAGTATATTGGGCCCCAAAATCCTGTTCGAACTGTTAAGGCCCCAAAAGTATGCTCATGCTGTCAGCATTCTCTTTTCGGCCGGTTGTATTATTACGACTAATGCTGCATCGCTGTCTGTGTTCTTTGTATCATTCTATTTATTGCTATCGTATGGTATTTGCTCTTGCTTTTTGTAATCGTCTTGTTGCTTGTTTGATGTTGGTTTCTCACTGCATCAAAACTGGTAGTGTTACGATCACTGCTGTCAACTGTAGCAGGCGTGCTGATGGTAGCTCCAGTGTCATATAGTAGCATCAGCATTCTGCTCTTGTGGTGTGTGGACCCGTTTCACTCTTAGCCCTAAACTCTAAATCCTAAACCCCTAAACCCTATATAAAACCCTGAACCCCAAACCGTAGCTCTGTGTGATTGGTGTTGCTATTACTTTACATAACTCTCAGAGCACCGATTCCATATGTCGCTTGGGTTGAGAGGTCGGTTCGTGGGTGTTCGGGCCACAAAAGCACGCAAACATGACATCCCAACCTCATGGTTTCTGTTTACGTCCTTTTTGTGTCCCTAAGGAAAATTGAGGCCTTGGCTATTGGGGTTTCGGTATCAGGCTTCATGCCATAGCCACATACACAGTACCGAAGCCTAGGCCTGCTATTGTACATTCCTTAAGCCCGACAGGGTTTAGTAATTTAGGGTTTAGTAGTTTATAGGGTTTTAGGATTAGGGTTTTGGGTTTTGGGCTTTGTAGGGCATAGTGGGTTTATAGTTTAAGCCCTAGGGCTCTTTAAAAGGGATCATGGGCTTTCTGGGGGAGATTTGGGCTTTGAGGGCTAAGGTTTGGAATCTCACTACGAGGGTCCAGGAGCATTAGGGCAAACCCCAAACGGCAATCACTTGTATGACTACTGCTCTACGCTTTCTTTTCCTGTTGTCTGATTATTTTCTGGTTTTTCCTCCTGGCGATCGCTACTTGTCGCAAACCTAAACGCAAACCCTGAAGCCGAACCAAACCCGGTACTGCTGATTGACAAAATCCTGCATGACCCTAAGGACTCTAAACTATGGGAACTATGGTATATTCCTTATAATGGGTAATGCAAGATTTTGTCCATCAACAGTATGAGTCCAGATCGTATAGGACCAGGCCGGACCCTTGCTTCTGATACTTCACTTCCCCGGTATTCTTCGAGTTAGTTGAGGGATACCGGTATTCGTTGATAGGCGACTTACGAAGTTGAGGGCACCGGTTATCAAGATTTAGGCTTTCAAGTTTTAGGCGACTTACGTAGTTGAGGGGCACTGGTTGTCAAGATTTCGGCTTTCGTATGTTGTCTTTTGCCTTTTAGTGCAGTGCTTGGTCGGCGGGGCTCGGGCGGACGCCCCGAGGTGCGGGTTCAGGGATTGGGTTCGAATGCCGTTCATGCGGGTAGTTCTTTAATTTAGGGCCCCTTAAGGTTTGTATAGAGTTCCCATAAAAGCACTACAATGGGTAGTTCTCTGAATTAAGATACTTTTTCAGGCCTCCAATATAGCACGGTGCCTTTATTTGTGAAAAGGACCTTAAACGGGACCCTAAAACCCTAATGTAGAGAACTACCCATGACGGGATTGGTCTTGTTTGCTGCAAGATTGCAGCCATTTTGAAGCCCTGGTCGAACCCGGATATAGCTTTTCAACAACTGTTAATGCCCTTGTCAAACCGGTACAAGGCAACACCTTCACAAAAGCCACATATCCAAATCATTACATGGCGGCGGGAAGGACCCGAAGAAGACTGAGAAGAAGGAGTCCGCCGAGACCCTGGCGGAAAAGGCCCCGCCGAGTGGCAGAAGTCGGCTGAGGCGACCGAGCCGCAGGAGGAGGGCAGGGACCAGGTCAAAGCTCGCAAG